CCAGCCAGGTGCGAGTGGAGGAGTAGGGAATCAATCCCGGTTCTCCCAGATTAGAGTCTGCACACTTAACCACTACACCAAACTGGCGCACTTAACCACTACACCAAACTTTCCAAAGCAGTTCTGGAAAGAGCTCTCTCAGCCTCACCTACCTCACAGGGTGTGTGTTGTCTGGAGGGTAAGGGAAAGGAGATTGTATGCCGCTCTGAGACTCCTTCAGGTAGTGATGGGTGGGGTATAAATTCAATCTCTTCTTCTTCTTCTTCAGCTGAGGTAAAAGAGGTAAGAAGGAATGTGTTCGCCCAGTGCCTGAAAGAAAGCAAAGTAGGCCCCCGGTGGACCTCGTGTGGGAGGGCATTTGAATGGCCGGGGTCTGTTCCTTTGCCACCGGCCTCACTGTGCCCCCCTATCCATCTCCCACTGGTTGCTAGGTCTTGTGTGGCGACCCTAGAGGGGAAAGTGATGGTAACAGGATTAATGGAAGCCTGCCTTTCCCAGGAGCAAGCAAGGGAGGAGAAGTCCCTTGCAAGATACGGCCCGTGAAAGGCCAAGTGTAAGTGACTGATGCACAGGGGTCATTTCATAGAAAAAGAGGGGCAGAGAGCTCATTAGTATAACACATTAACATAACTTATTTGCAGAAGTGTGTCAGAAGGCAACACCCACCGCTCAGGCTCCACTGGACTCTTTTGGATCGCTAGCTACTGGGGGGGAGAGAACGTTAGATCCGTCCTCGCAGAGGGGAGAGAGCTTGTAGCTGAATAAAACTTGGTCTTAAAGGTGCCACTGGACTGTTTTGGGCCGGGGGGCCGAGGGCGGCGGCTCTGCAACTTACCTGGTTACTTCTTGCTCTGACTGAGGGCTGCTGGGAGCAGGGGGTGGGGCTTGTTGCATGTGCCCGCCCCCTGGGCTCTTTATTGTCAGAGTGCTGCTCCTGTGCGCTCCTGCAGGAAATGACCCCTGGTTGATGCATCTTAGTATTTTCCCATATTTCCACGATGTCTTGTGCTTTCAGTGCCAATAAAGGTTGTGTGTGTGTGTGACGATTCGATGCGTGCCTTAGATTTCCGCAGGGAGAACGTGCTTCCTCATTCTACCTCTCGATCCCGGCTGACTCTTCTGCTCCAGTCTCCCCCCGTGAAATTCCTGACCAGCCCAGAGTTCTTCACAGTGCTGCATTCTAACCCTGTGAGTACAGGACGGCCATCAAATATTAATTTTGTAGAGCAATGTGCGCAGGGGTCATTTCGTAGAAAAAGAGGTGCAGGAGCTCATTAGCATAACTCATTAGCACAACTCGTTTGCATATGCCACACCCCCTGACATCACCGGAAGTGTGTCAGAAGGCAACA